AGAGAGATCAACAGATGTATGCAATGCTTTTCGTGATTCTGATACTAATATGAATCCACGACAGCAGCGTCGTGACAGATTAAATTGGAGATTTCATCCACAAGCTTGTTACACGAGTAGATTGCTTAATTTTGCTAATCTTCCAGAACCTACCAATTTCTTTACTCGATATCGTTTTGATTCTGCATTTGGAAGCGTTACTCAAGGCAAGTCTATTATTATTATTATTATTATTATTATTATTAAAAAACAACTGGTTTACTTATTTTCTTTAACACTAATTTATACACTTTATAGACAGTTTCAATAAAACAAATTCTCATGTTGACGAAAAATTCGAGGGTAATGGAATTATAATTTATTGATATGTACATTAATCAGTCCTAAGCAGTCTTTGAGAATTGTCGGTTTTTCAAAATGATTTTTTTTTTTTTCATAAGCTATTAAAACGAATTGTTTGTAATAATTCATTTACCAGATTTACTTAATGGAAAAAATGTCTGGAATTTGAAAACATTTTTATTCAATTATTCAAAAAAAAAAAAGGCAGGTGGCTTAGAGCCGTGATATATATTAACTATTTCCATTAAGCAAATCTTTTTTTATAAAGTTGAGCTATTGTGCTAGTAACTTATGAAGAAAGATCAATTAGGTCCGATTAATATCTCTTATGACATTTATTACTTTAATAAAACCTTTTAAATTATTATTAAAAAGGCACACATAGCCCTTCAAGTTCTCAAATTGATCTTGAACAATTAAGAACACCCTCAATGGCACTCTCAGATCCTATATATACATCACTCCTACGTAAACACTATCGAGCCGATAAGATATTTTTTAAAGAATCAGAAATCTGTTCAGGTTTGCAAGATTATTTTATAATTCGACAAATCCGTGTTTTTTCATGTAATTAACACGAAATTCATGTTTCGTGTGAAATTCGCGTTTCACGTAATTAAAGTGAAAAAATCATCTTTGTGTAATTAACACGAAACTCTCTTTTTCATGTAATTTTACACTCATAAAAACTGATAATATTACAGACAATGAAAGTACTTATTCACAAGAAATATTATCTGATGATGTAACATCATTGCGGTACTCTAAAGCCATAACCACAGAACTAGAACGTCGATCAACACCTGATGTAGGAGGTAGAACATCACGATATTCATTAGCATTAGAAGCCGAACTTCAACGATGCACCACACCAGAAGGTCGGAACAAGAAACAACGAAAAGGAAAAAAGCATATACCGGCCATAGGATCAACATTTAATGATACGAGAAATATAGCGGTGCATAATAAAAGACAGAACGATCTTAGAAAAAATATTTATAACAGATATGATCAAAATGCATCTAATAAGGCACGAAAAGAAATGGCACAAACTTATAAATATTCAATAGAATCAATTAAAGAAACTGGTATAAAATCACCACCAAAGCTTTTGGGAGAACATTTATTTCAAGATGACGATGATGCATATCAGAATTGTGAAAAAGAAGAAAATGAAAAAGTTAAAGAAAATATGAAAATTAACAATGTGGATTTGGAAAATATAGACGTATTACAATTTGTTAGAAGGCAACCTACTATTCAACGAGGTATTTGGAAATATATATCTTTTAAAAAAATGAATTTTGTTATCTAATTTTTTTTTTTTATGTCTTTAACAGCAAGAAAGGAAAAGACAACATCTATATTTGTATCAAAATTTGACCATCAAACAGATTCAACACCACCCCCACCGATTCGTGTATAAATAGATTATTAGAATGATATTATTAACAGTAGATATTGTAAGTGTTAAAAACACTTCTCTGTCCAAAATATAATTATCTTTAAGTAATTTCATGTAAATAAAAAGTTAAGGGCTTCACGACATCCATTAATTTTTTACTTAATAAAAAAATTTGCCTGCGCGCAGATACCCAATCATCTTAAAAATCATATGCAGACAAGCGCAAGTTATATCGGTAAAAAAATCAGATGTGGATTAAAGGTCATAGCAATCGTCAGACATAATAAACATAAACCATTTATCTATGTTGTAAATGAGTGCGTGAGAGTGAAAACCTGGAAACCGATTTAATAATTTACTATGATTGGTTTCCAGGTTTTCACTCTC